GGTAGTACAGATCCAGCTGGAGTGTAAATTTTGTACAGAAGTGTAAGTATGGAGAGCGTAGTGCATCTGTACAGGTAGCCACCAGTCCTTGTGRTATAATAATAAATAAGCGATGGGCTGTTTTGATGAAGAAAACTTTGCTCATTTCTGTTTCTACTTTCTGAGATTGAGAGAAAGGGGCCACGATTCCTCTGCTTTTTGACATTTCTTTTCTTTTTTTTTGGTTTGGTTTTTTTTTTTTTTTTTTTTTTTTTGGGGCGGGAATAAAAAGCTGTGAAATTGTTCAACCTCCTTTGTAACCAAAGAAGCAAAGCTGTGTAACTGAGTTGGTTGTTGTCGTGTTGTGTTTTTTTTTTCTTTTCTTTTTTTTGTTTAATTTTTATTTTATAATGCACATTCTTTATTACGTATTTTTTATTTAGTGTTTTTTCTCACTCACGACTTTTTTCTTTGCTGTCTGGCATGATCTGCATGAGCTGTAATCTTTGAACCACTTGCGTACCTCATGTTTTTATCCAGCACTCTCGGTGTAGCGTGTCCTGGTCTGTGAACAATAAAGAGAAAAGAGAAAAGAGCAGCTGCTGGTGCTGCTGGTGGAGCTGAGCTGGCAAACAGACAAATGAAGTGAGCCATCTTTTGTTCATTGAAAATGGTGTTTGCAATTTCGTATGCAGAAAACGTTTTGTTACATTGCAGATTTAATGTATTTAATAAATGCGACATGCAGATGAAATGCAGTGTATACTGAGTATTTAAATTAAAAATGTACATTTCATAAATACCGTTTCAAGAAAGACCATCATTTGTGTAAACTAATTCCGTGTGTCAAATCGATGTACAAATATATATATATATATATATTTTAACACATTTTCTGAAATTAAACCAGTTTTGTTGAATCCCTCTGGCTGTAGATGTCGTTGCAGTGTTCAATTCGGTGGCTCTTTTTTGGAGATGGAGAAATGCACTGAGGCAGCACCAAAGTGCCACKTTTGCCACTGGGGATGGTTTCCTCTGGAAAAAGGAATTTTTCTGATGCTGTGACCCTCTTGGGGGTTTTTTTTTTTGATAGCTCCAAATGAATGCCTGGGCCTGTGAGTCGCTGCTGTGATTGTTTGCCTCAATCACTGAGCCCTGAGCTCGTCTGCTCGGGTTTGTGTCTGAGGTGAAACGGAGGAAACGTTGGAAACTCTTAAGTTTTGGTGTTTTCAAAGAAGTGTCCGAGTCCCAGAAACTGAGAAGGATCCCCCGTTCCCGGTGAGATCAGTTCAGTGCCATTCACACAAACCCTGTTTGTGTCTGTTAAAAAGTTCTGCTGAAGTGAAAATGCTCTTCCCACGCTGGGTTTGGTGTTTTCCACCTGCTGCACCCCAGTGCACCGAGGGCTCTGCACACAGATTGGGAAACAAAATATTCCAAATATCCCAATAGCTGTGTGTGTTCCCAGCGCTGTCAGCGACTCCAGCTGCACTGTGAGGAGGGTGTGGGAAACGGAGGAAAAAAGGGACAAATCGGAGACTTTTGGGAGGAGACTGAGGAGTCCCTCAGGTGAGGGGGTGATGGGAACTTCCGTGGAGGGCACATTCCATAACGCGAATGTTTGCCATAATTTTGGGATAATGGGAAGGGATTGGGCCGGTGCACATTCTGTAATGGGAGTCTTTGCCATCATTCCATAGTTTTGGGATAATGAAAAGGGATTCAGCTGCCCAGTGCACATTCTGTAATGCGAGTCTGTGCCATAATTCCATAGTTTGGGATAATGGGAAGGGATTGGGCTGGTGCAGATTCTGTAACGCGAGTGTTTGCCATAATTCCATACTTTTGGGATAATGGGAAGGGATTGGGCTGGCTGGTGCACATTGTAATGTGAGTCTTTGCCATAATTCCATACTTTTGGGATAATGGGAAGGGATTGGGCCGGTGCACATTCTGTAACGTGAGTCTGTGCCATCATTCCATGGTTTTGGGATAACAAGAAGGGATTGGGCTGGCCTGTGCACATTCTGTACCGCGAGTATTTGCTATAATTCCATAGTTTGGGATAATGGGAAGGGATTGGGCCGGTGCAGATTCTGTAATGGGAATCTTTGCCATCATTCCATAGTTTTGGTAAAAAGAGAAGGGATTGGGCCGATGCACATTCTGTAACGCGAGTCTTTCCATAATTCCATAGTTTTGGGATAATGAGCAGGGATTGGGCCGGTGCAGATTCCGTAACACGAGTCTTTCCATAATTCCATGGTTTTGGGATAATGGGAAGGGATTCGMWGCTGCAGTGGCGGAGKGACAGRAAGCTCTGGAAATGCAGCGCCGGGGCAGCGGCGGCTCCGAGATAGAGCCGGGATCTCCGGGAGTGACAGAGGATGGGGAAAAGCTGCGGAAACAGCGGGGAAAATGCCGATTGAGGATGGGGGAAAGCTGCGGAAACAGCGGGGAAAATGAGCAGAGTGAGGGAGCGCTGGAGCGGGGGA